TCTTCTATTTTGTTCTACTCTTCTTTCTACTCTTTATCTTTTGGTTTAGTTTTCTTCGGGTTTTATTCATTTTCTTTTTCATTCTATAATTTAAAAGCTTTTGTTTTCTTTTTCTTTCCCAAATTCTTCATCTTATTCTTCCTCATATTTTTCTTCTTCTTTTTCATCGTCTTTGACTTGTAATTTTTTTTCCTCTTATATGTCTTTCGTTTTTCTTATTCCTCATCCTTTTCTTTCATCTTCATCATCGTTTTTGACTTCTTCTTCATCATCTATTTATTCTCTCAGTTCTTCTTCTTCTTCTTCTTTTTGATTTTTATTAGCCTTCTTTATTATTTACTTCTTATTCTTCTTTGGTCTTCGTTAAACTTATCTTCTTCTGGTTTTTCTTCATCTTTTTTTTTTCATCTTCACCTACTTCATTTTCCCATTTCTTCTTATTTTACTTTGTCTGTTCATCTTTCATTTTTTTCTTCTGGTTTTGTTCTTCAACTCCAACCTCTTTTATTTTTTTATCATTATACTTCTTCACTATTTCGTGTTCTCATCTTCGTCTTATTCTCCATGGTTTTATTCAAATTTATGTTCGTTTTTTTTTAGTTTTTATCATCAACTACATCTATTTCATTATATTTTTATTTATCTTTTTTTCTCCTCTTCTTTTACTTCTTCTTTTTCCAATTTTTATTGTACTTTGTCTTCTATATTTTCATCATCTTCGTACCCTCCGACTTCATTGCTCGTCTTCATCTTCTTATTAGATTATATAATAAATACTAATTTTCAGAGCTTAGGTAAACAATCACAATCATATCTAACAAAACCGTAGAAATATTAGAAATCTTAAATACCACAAAAACCAATGAATAAATATATGACATCTTTGAAAAAACAAACTATCATAAAAATGGAAAAAGAGAATCTTGACTAAAAACCACACTACAACTATATATATATATATATATAATAGTGTAATCATTAAACAACAAAATATATAACCAACACGCACCAAATATCAATATAACCGACCAAGAAAAATAATACAAAACAAAATTCAAATACCCAAACAAAAAATTACCAACCGAACAAAGAAACCACTAAGTACACAAATTTATCGTTATAAACACCGGTAGAAGAATCTTCATCTTGTGTAAAAACGATTTGAGATGTAGGCAGATGATACAGAAAAATCTGAAGATCATGAAGGAGACGATTGCTAGTCGCTACAAAAAATTCATAAAAGTTTTGAAGCAAATAACTATTAGGCAATGGATTTACAATAGAAAAACTTCTAGAATCTGAAAAAACATTTCCAAGCACGAACTAAAATAAAAACATAAATTTATATTTACCTGATAATTCCATTGTAAGACAAGATATGAATTACAGAACCCGGGAAGTATCAATTATACAAAAATAGTAGGTAATAGGCATAAATAATAGTAGAGATTGTTTTTTTTTCTAAAAAGAGATGTACAATTTTTTTATAAAAAAATGGTATGATCGTTTTTTTAAAGAGAGGTGGACGACTTTTTTAAAATGCTATGATCATTGTTTTTTTTAAAAAGAGGTGAACAATTTTTTTTTTTTAAATACTTAAACTTAGTAGACAGATGTTATATGTAAGAAAATATGAAAACTGATATGGGTATATATAGCATGATGGATATGCTAGGATTTAGTTAGTACCGACTTCTACATCAGTGGCCCAAAAATCGGTGGCTATGACGAATTTCAAGATCGGTGGCCCATTAACAACATCGCTGACGCATAATTGAGAAAAAAGCTCTGTCATGTGTATATACAGGTAGGATTAATGATCGACCTATCAAAACTAATTAAAATAACACATAATTTTTTTTATTAATAACACATAGGAAAATCGTTGTGGTAATGACACATCAGATTTTTTGACCTCGCAAATAATGGTATATATATATATATATATACTTTTTTGACCAAAAAAGTAGATTTAGGTAATAAATCTGCGCTTTGGATTTATAAAATAATCACATCTTATAATTATAAACTTTGTTACCAAGAAAAAATCGAACATAAATATAACAACAATGTTAAATATTTTACCAACAAAAACAAATCATATAACAACCATTCACACATTGTAATTACAGAAAGGTTTTTTTGGACTATTTCTTTTTATTTCTCCCTCGCCATAACTCTCTCTCCATTTTCTTGTAAGTGTGTGTCATTCTACTCGGTTATTCCACGTATTTTCCTTCTTCTTCTTTAACGTATTTGATATTTGATTTATGTTTCTTCTTCTTCTTCTACTTAATCATCTTTGAATTTGAGTTATTTTTTATCATCTTTATTTTTTTCAACAATTATTCTTTTTTTTTCTCTTTCGGATTCCCATTGTCTTTTTCTTCTGATCATCTTTTTTCATTGTTTTCTTTCAGTTTTTCTCCATCCCATATTCAGCTTCTTCTGCTTCGTTTTCTTCTTTTTATTTAAAAATTTTGTTTATCTTCTCCCTCATATTTCCTTTTCTCTTTTTCATCGTATCCGGTTTATTCTTCTTCTTCATCTTCTCCAAATAATTACCTTCCTCTTCCTTCTTCTTCTTTGACATCATGGTCTAACCACCTTTTGATTCTATTTATGATTTTTTTTTAATTTTCTTTGTCTTTGTCATCTTTCTCATTTTTTTCGACTTTTTCATCTTTTTGCTTTTCTTTATCTTTAATCTTTTATGAGAGAAATATATAAATTTTATTTCTTAATTTATATATTGATACATTGTGAACTGTATTATTATTATTATTATTATTGAATACATCACTGACCTAAAATAAGTAAAACAAAAAGTCTACTATGATATTTAATAGATGAAAACACCACCTTATGAGTACTTCAGTGACCTAAAATTAAGAAAAATGGAAATCCAATTAGTCATAACTAAGAAATTTACCACCTAAAATTAAGAAAAGTGGAAATCCAATTAGTCATAACTATGAAATTTACCACCTTGCAGTAAACATCATAACAACAAATGATAGAATTTCCATATTTCCAACGAAAACAATAACGTAAAAATTATCTGCTTTTCTTTCCTGCCTTTGAACTTTAAAATATATTGTAAGAATAACATAGATTATGGTGTGGAACTTTCACCCAAAAACTAATAGAATGTGTTTTACATGATACTTCTACCATAGCTAAAAATCAAAATTGGAAATAAGAAAAAAAATCTGTTTTAAAAAACTATAAATTTGACTATTCTAAAACCGGGTAGAATCGTAGAGATCCTTGAATATCTGTTTACTCTTGAATATCTGTTTTTTTCCTTCTCTATTACAAAATACAATCCCACTGGATTTTCATTAAAAAAATAATGTTCATGTTCTTAAAAGATTTCATAGCACCATTATCATCCTTTTTTTGCAATAATGGTTGAGTCAACATTATAAATGTGAGTTAAGATTTTTATCAGTTCTAAAATTTTTTTTTATTTGTAATTAAAATTTCCAAGTGGCCCAATAAGAAGAGAATAAAACCCTTCTTTTATATATATAATTTTTTTTTCTTATCATTCTTTTTTTTCTTCATCTTCATCTTCTCCAAATTATATTATTTATATCTCTCCCACTTCCGGTTTTTCACTCAGAGTTTTTCATCATCATCATCATCTTCTTTAGATTTTATACCCTTGTGTTAAAAATAAAACCCAAGTGTATATATATATATATATATATATATATATTTACTTGAAGATTTCTTCGGAATTGAAAACAAATGGAGAAAAAAAT